CATCTTCTTTTTTTTTTTTTCTGTCCCACTCTCTGACACCAATTTGTTACGTCTCTGGTCGTTAGTTAATTTTCCGTAAAAATTCTTTCCAAATAAACTTTAGCGATACAAGTCCTTTCTTAAATAAAACTGGTTTATTCTCTCTGAATACAAATTTGCAATACACTTAATTTCCACAGTCGCGCTATAACAAACGCTATAATTCACAAGGAAGTCTCACGTGCTCGACTCAACAATACTCTCTCTGTCAGCAGTTCAATTACATATTACATTGATGCCGTCACGTCTTGACCGTCTTATATATACAATATTACCGCATATCTAGTAGACTCTCGAGCATTCAGGAAGGGACGTGAACGTTCGAGAAGTGCATGACGTGTTACTAGAATCACGTGACCTCCGCTGTGGTAAAGGTATTGATGAAATAGCTTACGCCCCCTGAGTTATTTCTAGGATAACCCTTGTTTTGTACGTGACTAAAATAATGATTATGTATTCAATGCTGCTGTATTAAAAGCGTGAAAATATTTATGTAACAAATTTTACCTTGAGGTAAAATATTTTAAACACACGCTGCATTGGTACACTACCTCTGCAATTTTGCCGACGTCACTGTTCCCTTTATGCCACTTAATAAATTAACGAACACTGGTCCATCATCCAGGTCACTTTATTATTCTATGTGTGTTATCCCGTTGTTAACTAACAATAGTAACTTACATCAGGCCGTGAGGTGAACTAATATACATGTAGAACTCTTAACGGTTATTCCAGAATATTGTAATGTTACAACATGATCTTCGTATTTTAGAAATATAATTAAATTAATATTTATTGATATTCAAAATAATAAATACTGTAAAATTATTTGTAATTTTTTTTGTATCATGTTTAGATCTATGTTTTCGTTAGAGGGCAATGACGAAACGACCTAATCTGATTGTGTTTGATTTAGGTAAAATATTTTATTGGTTTTTGTTTTTAACTTTTATTAGCATCTACTGATTTGTGATTTTATCGATTGGTATCAATATTTTCATCCAACTACGTTATTTTGTATTTTGGCTTAAATAAACGGAATCGCGTTAACTTAAGACTGTGACAGTATGACTCAGTATGAGACAGCAGTGCCACGACTGGTACAACGTGTTTTAAATTTTTATGTAATACAGACTACTAAAGTAGGGTACTTCTGAACCAATTCCACGATGCAAGATAGAGTCATATTACTCTTAAGACTCTACTGTAAGAATTTACAGCTCACCACTTGATGGTGTAAGTAGATTCATTCCTTCATTTGGTGTCGTCTCCATTGCACTTACAAGTTACATGGGTTGATTCCAATTTGGAGTCCAACAGACCGTCAACACTGCCTCTCTTGTACCCTTGTGCACTGCGATATTTTAAGACTAAGTTAAGCCTTTAAGTCCTTTACGGTTTGATATTATCCTCCCACTTAGTCCTTTTGCTCTCTTTCCTTCTAGCATAAATTTCTGTATCTTATTGTGCCTTTTTATATGCCCCAAGTATACAGTTTTCCCTTGTTTTATAGTGTCCATCAGTTCTCTTTTTATGATTTCCTTAAATTTTTAAAATTTCTTTATTTGTTTTTCTATCTGCCCGTAATATTTTTTCAAATCTTTGGAATATCCACATTTCAAACACTTTCAGTCCTCTACTTTTAATTTTTATTGATTGTCCAAATCTCTACACCATACAACAACAGTATTAACAACAGGACACAAATTTAAGGTTTGGAAAAAAACAGACTAGTCTGCAGTTAGGACAATGTTTTTTAACAGAGTAAGTGGTTATGGAAAGCTGCTGTTGGGGAGGCCTGCAGTTTACAAGAGTTTAAGGTAAAAATTAATGATTTTCTGAAAAATAAAGTGTGGTTTTAAATTATTATTTTCCAGAGGGCTAGTGTGCAAGGAACATCCTTGAACCATTGAAGAATCAAATGGTTTCTTGTGATCTGTGTATTATTTCTTTAACTCGTGATTTTTTCATTGTTTTTTTATTTTATGCATACTTTGTTTTAATATTAGATTTCCATCATTCTTGACTATCCTAGTCCCTTCTTTACAGCTTTCACTTATAAACTTTGTTGCTAAAAGTTTCTAGTTCTTATTCTTGACAATGTCCTTGTCTTCACTGTGCAGCATGTTGAAGTTAAAAATGAACCTGGGTAATAAAGTCAAGAGTAAAAAATGCAGTGGAAATTACACAAACAGGTAAAAAAAATCAAAAAAGTATTTTGGAAAACAGTATCAATAACAGCCAAGCCTAAGGCAATTATTGAAACCACATAAACCAACTCAGTTAATAATTAAGCTGCTGTTAATACAGTTTTAAAATCAATGGCTTCCCATTATTGTTCAACACTTGCTATTAAACCCTACTGTTCTGTTTATGCTTTCTTATAATTTGTTTCCTTTGCGCATCTATATATATTTCAACATGGTTTCTAATCATTGGCTTAGGTTTTACATCTATATATTTTAACAGTGGTATCACATGTCACCTCAAAATGTTACCTGCATGATTTTATACCATTCCTAAAATATACAACTTTTTTTTAATCTGTTTGTGTAATTTTCTTTGTCTTACAGGGTTTACACATATATATGATAATAAAAAAGTAAAAATGCTTATTTCTGAATTTGTCATTTATACCATTCCTCAAATATAGGACTTTTTTTTTACTTTTTTACCTGTTTTTATAATTTTCATTGTCTTTTTCCATTGTTTTTATTACCATCACTGGTTAAAAAAACTTACCGAGGCCTGTGAGAAAA